TTTGATAGAACAATATATGTAAAGAGAGTTTTGATTGTGATATTTGTTTTAAATATTTAAAGGAAAATATGTCTTGATAATTTTTAAATATTGACAAAATTTAATAGCTATAATTGAAACATTCATTCAATGAAAACTTAAGAATTCAAATCCGGAGGTAACTGTTGTACCCGAACAATTATGTTCGTATGCCAAGGAGGAGTTATGAGACCATGGTGCGTAAACTGACCCTCTGAACCCAGAAGAAAACTCCCTTATCTTTCTCTCTTCTTTATCTGTGTATTTGTTGTGACTAAAGAGCTGAATTCGAGCGCGTAACCTCGTTTCCACGTAGAGAACCCACCGGGTCCTACAATACTTTTTTTTTTTGCGCCAAAGGTCCTACAAGATTTGAACGTATCCAAGAGCCACTAAACCTTAAAAGATACCAAATAATTAAGGAGATGGTTTACATATAACGCACTTCCATCTGTCCTCCACTAACAGAGAAGAATTTAAAAAAAAAGAAAAACACACTGATAAATTGTGTGCTTCTATTTGAGGGAGAAAAAGCAAACTGATGGCTACTGATAAATTGATTCGAAGCAGTCCGTGAAGATTTAATTACATGATACTGGAAGACATGCAAAATCTTTATCATAGTAGCAAATCCATCCACTAATTAAATTAGAAAACTCTTTCTAACACTACTTCCGAATGGGTGGGTACATCTTGGCCCCAGAGAATAAAGAGAAATCAATTCGAGTTTCTTTGTTTTTTTTTTCTTATATAGACTGGATGCACTATGTTACGTTTGCATCAATTCAATAACCTAAAATATGACATATCATTTGTTTTTAATGATTTTATTTTTGAATAGTGTGCCTCTTTAATTTCTAGGCTTCTTTCTCTCACTTATCTTCAATAACAAAATTAATTTATATTTATAATTATTTAACATGGCATATTTTTATGGGTTTAAAGTTCAATTTTGCCTCTATATTTAAGTGGAACAATTTTACTTTTGAACTAATTTTTGAGGAGCAAAAAACTTTCTCTGTTAATTAACCGTTAACTTTGTCATTATATGCTGACGTTGTATGTGCATGGGGCCCACGTACAGTAACAGATAAGATTATAACCATGTTTTTTGTGCTAATTTGCTCCTGAACTCTTTTTTTAGGAGTATTATGCACCCTAAAGTCTTGTTAAAATAAAATTTAATAAATATTATTAAAATATTAAGTATTTTAATATTTAATAATTTAAATATTATTATTTATAACATACATTACTTAATTTAATATTTTAATATTTTATAATCTTGTATTAAAAATGAAGGGAATGAACCTCCAAAATAACGAAGGGATTTTTTTTTTTTCATCTTTCCATTTTTTATTTATTAAGTAACTTTTTTTATAGCATATTAATGGAATAAGTGAAGTCTTTTAAATAAACATTTTTGTTGTCATTTTATTGGTGCTAATTGCCATATTTTCGATTTTACTTTGAACACTGCAACATATAGAGAGGATTAAATTTGGATAGTGCAATATTTTGGAGGAAGATCATTAGTTTATCGATTAAAGAACTTAACAAATATTAAAAATATATTTAAGTTCCAACACATACAAAAATCGTAATGATGTTGGTACTGTCTCAGAAAGAAGATCTGAGATCAATAAATAAGAAATCATCTATAAATTTATAAAATGCTAGTTTGAGTTGTTAATATTTAAAAAGTAATATATAAATTTTGAATGAATATATATATAATAATAATATTTAAATTATTAAATAAGATGATAATATTTAATATTTTGACAATATTTATTAAATTTTATTTTAATAAGATTTTAGGGTATCTAGCGCTTATAGAAAAAAACTTTAGGTTGCTCAGCACTCTTGAAAAAAGAATTCAAGGACAAATTATCACCAAAAGACATGGTTAAAATCTTACCTGTCACTTTATGTGGGCCCCCACACACATGTCACATCAACATAAAATGAAAAAATTAACAGTTCATTAAATAAGAAGTTTTTTGTTTTTTGAAAAAATAATTCAAGAATAAAACTGTCACATTTAAAAATATAAAATATCTAACGTTTTTAAAAAATAATACAGTAACAAAATTGAACACCAACCTTACTTCTATTGGACATACAAAAATTTCTCTTTGCAAGAACAAAATGCAAAATTCCATCGTCAAATCACCACCTTAAAAGCATATCTAATTAATCTCAGGGAGGGAGGGGGAGAGAGTGAGTGGGGTCACAAATTGATCGGCACGTGAAGATATCTTTTCTATAATTGGTTCATGTACATGTAATCTGTGAGATGATTTAAGTTGAGTTTGATGGAAAATTAATTTGGCTCCTAATGTTTGTTAAAGGGGGAGCAATAATCAATATAGTGAAATCAGAAAAAGACAAGGTGTGAGATTCTGTAGTGGTTGGCGTGGCGAATAAAAGAGTAATAAGAAAATATAGAAAAGAAAAGATGGCATAATCCAAATCTAGCAACTGTTTTTTTTAAGTATGAGGTAAAAAGGGCAGACACTTCACCCTTTCACCCTTTTTGGAATTTGCATTAGTTTTCGTTTTTGGGTAACGTTCTTTTCCAGATTCAGACAAATGACACCATTACCGCTCGCAATTAATGAAAAAAATTAATTTAATAAGTAAAAATTTGACTCATAATTAAAGATGAAGTCAAATTTCACTACCAATGACAGAGCCACATATATTTGACAGGAGCGTATGCCCCCTTCAAATGAGAAACAGTACTTATATGAGGATGGAGGTATATGTATTTATATTTGCACTCTTTTTTTTATATTTTACATTTTAAATGATTTCACATTACTTTTTAACTTAGGTCCAAGATTAATTTTTTTAACTAAAAAACCCAATAAATTTTAACCTATAATTTCAATATACCCAAATAGTAATATTATTTTATAAAACCTTAACATTTATTAAATTAAACCTTGAAGAAAATAAGAAAAAAATAATCTGGCCCACGTCGTTTGAAATCTCAAATCAAATTTGTAAAAAAATTAGTTGAAATTGAAATACATATTGTTTATCTATTGGTTTATCTTCTCTTGAAATAAGCAATGGTATTACCTGTTGCCATAGTAACAGTTGAAAGAGCTTTTTCTACTATAAAGTTGTAAAAAATTAGTTGCACAATTGAATGAAAAATTCTTGGATGAATGATTGTCTTATAACTTATATTAAAAATTATGTATTTGAAAGTATTGATAATGAGCTAATTATTTAACAATTCTAAAACATGAAACCATGTAGAGAAAATTTATAAAGTATGTAATTATTAAATTATTTTTATTATTTTTTTAAAATTATGAATATGTAAATGATTTCGTCCCTCCTAACCTAGGATCTTGGTTTCGCCACTACTCACTACCAATGAGATAATTTTATTGATGGATAAATTATAAATACCTTCATAAGTACTTTTTGAATATAAAGACATACATTTATCTTGGTGAGATCCCAATATCTAATTTACCTAAGCTTTTGTTGATAAAATCAAACAATTGATAATGCTGTCTGTTCTTAGAAAAGGAAAGCTGGAAGCTTGAAACTAACGAAGGTTAATTCAGTTGGTAAAGATTTGACCCATAATTGATAAATTGTGGGGTTAAACCTCACTACCAATGAGATAATTTTATTAATGGGTAATTTATAAATACCTTTATAAGTACTTTTTAAATCTAAAAATATATTTTTATCCTAATGAGGTCTCAATATCTAACTTATCTAAACTTTTGTTGATAAAATTAAACCGCTGATGACGCTGTCTGCTCTTCGGAAAGGAAAGCTGGAAGGTTTTCTATGGAATCTCAAACTACGTAATTGAAAACTTCGATTTTTTTTTTTTTTTAAAGATGACAGTCAGTCAGTGAATTTCTTGTTTGTATGGTAAAGTTTACCTGAGTTGGGTATGAAAGATAATTGAGATTTATGTAACTTTTATCGGATCCATTGTTCAAAGAGATTTAAAAGTAGTAAAAAAATTACTCCGTGATTTGGTGGCTTAAAACATAAGTGTTTAAAAAAAAATTTCATTAATAATAATTGTTATAATATTATTCCTCAGTATTTCACTTTTCAATTAAATTTCCCTTCACCTCTCTCTTATTAATAAAGAATATTTTTAAAAATTTATAGAAAAATTAAGAATATAAAATTGTAATTAATAAATTTTATTGGTAAGTATAAAATTATAAATTGTAATTTTTTAAAAAAATCTTATAGATTAAAACAAAAGAAATATTTATTACCGTAAAAAATCCTCACATTATCAACGGTATCCATCCTTTACCTTTGTTCGGCCGGGTGACTGACGTTTTCAAAATTTCTGTTGACAACTTTGTAATTTAATTTAAATGCATTATAATAAATTAGTTAATTGTCTTAAACATATATACTTTTCATATTTATTTTATTTAATACTTTTCTCCATCCAAATTATAAGGTATTTTTGAAAGAGTTTCTTCATCCACAATATAAGACACTTTGGGTAGATTAATATTTCATTAAATACATTAATTTTAATATTATCCTTTCTCTCAATATAATTAATTTTCATTTGTATTAAATGATGGGTATTTTTAAAATTTATATTTTTATTTTGGAAAGATAAGGTTGTTAAGTATATTTAATGAGGTTTATTATATGTGAAATTTTATCTAAAAGTATTTTATAATTTGGGATGGAGGGAGTAGAATATTTCAATTAGAAAATCTCATTATTTACACCCCTTAATTGATGGTATTTTTAGAAAAACCCTCATTAATTGCATTTTAAAAAAGACTTAAAATGTCTTATATCTTTAAACATATCTTATCTCAAAAAAAAAACCTTATAATTTGAAATGATGAAGCAAATATTAGTCTAATCTTTTGAAATTTCATTGGGTTAGGTGGCTTTTGCCAAAAACAGTGAACTCTATGCTGCTTACAATTATACTTTGGAAATTTAGGGAAGAAAACTATGTGAACAAGTTATTGCCCTCAACAAAATACAAATACAGATAAAATAGTAAGTTTACATCATCATTTTGAGATTCAGTCCCGTATACCACTAGCTCTTACAATTATACGTGATTAATTATGCATAAACAGACGCTATTTTGAAATTAAAAGTGGGGAAAAAAAAGATACAAGAGACAGGATATGTCGGTAATTGCTCCATGTAATAAGAGAGATGCATGATCCATGTAGGAACTTGTAGCTAGTGGAAAGAGAGCAACACCCTAGAAGAAGAAGAAGCAGCAGCAGCTTTGGGGTTCTCTTCTGCTCTCTCACATGCGTATTTGTCTGCAATTATATCACACATGCACGCACGCACAATTTTACAGTACTCCAGAAAACCCTAATCACAAGTTTCTGCCTGCGTTATTCCCAGCTTTTGCATACAACCTCAAGCTCCAAGAACATCGACAATGATACTATCGTAACGTTCCAACGTTCTTTTGAGATTTATAAATAATTTTGCTTCAACCAGCATTGATCTTGGACCTATAACTCCGGCTTGGAAACTGTGTGAATCCCATATGTAGGACCTAACTGAGATCAGTCAACATTTGGAAAGCAACAACTTTTCACCAAAGAGAAAAGGGTTAAATATGATTGTTTCCCTTAAATTTCTTTTTTAAGAACCCTAGGGACTTTGTATTGAAAGGTTGGACAATATTTTCCAAAACAAATTTCTTCAAGAGCAAAATCACCCTTTCGTGAAAGACCCATCATCTTTTCTGTTACCTGTTAATGTTGAATAATTGTGGGGCTCACACATAGTGATAATAATGCATTCGAACCAATTTTAACCATTTAATATGGGCCAAAGAAGCTAGTAGTGGTAGGAAATGGGGCATGAATTTAGTAGTAAAATGATGGCAAAATGGAATAGAATGCTTTGCTATCATTATACATAACTCTACAACTATTCCACATTCACAGATAATAAAGAATATAATGGGTACAGGTCTCTAACATAAGAGCGATTTGCTCTTGAAACAATTGTTGAGGAGATATTACCCTACTCTTTAGAATAGAGCATGCTCACCCCTCAACGCTTCTAGAAAGAACGTTTAGAATCTTTAACCCAAAAGAGAAACAAGTGTTATTTATATCCCCCGGGCCCCTCATAGATATTATGAATGAATGAATTACTTTGATACATACGAACCTATTCCAGCGAAAACCTTTCTGCAGTGTGAACGACTAACTGAAAAAGATTTCCGCACAAAGAAAACTGAAAAAGATTATTTGTAGCGAGCATAAAGTTATATTAGCATCAATAATAGTGTTAAATATGTGTAAGCATGCACAAAAAGATAAAATGTGTAATGAGCATATCTGAAACAAAAGTTGATGTGGCATATCTATTGAGGAGATGATGATAGAAAATTATTTTGAGATGATTTGGACATATATATATATATATATATAAAGCTCTAGAAGGCCCAAAAAAGAAGAGTAAACCTATGAAGTAAGGTAGAGAAAAATAAAAAAAAATACTCATAAAAATTATTGAATGAGTGACCTTTGTTAATAATATTTTCAATGACTTAGTTGTTGATAGAGCACAATATAGTGTTGTGCAATTCATATATCTGATTGCACCAAGAGGGATAAGCCTTATTGTTGGTGTACATTCATCTCCTTAATTAGAGCATCCAAAGGATAAGATCATCAAAAGATATATATGAGCCAAGATTCATATCATCCGCTAGGTTCAGTACTCAGTATGACAAATTCAATCCACTGAAGAAAGAACGTGAGATTAAAATAAAGGGATGGATATAGCACACATACACACTCACATATACAGACACACACACACACACACACACAAAACACACACTTACAGTGTGTGAGAGGGAACTTAAAAGGAAAGGAATAAAAGGGAGCTCCCTTCAGTCCAAGTATAGGAAGCATAAGATTCAATTTGTCTCCCGCTTCATTCACTCATTTACTGAGCAGCATCTAATTCTATTATTCTTCCCTTTTGGTTCACTCACTCAGTATTTGTATGAATGACTCGGCAGCTAATTAAATCATCCTGTCACCCATTAATGGACCGAAGAAAGCTCCCTTGTTCTTACCCTCAACCTTGAATTCCTCCTTCATCCGTCCCACAGTCAAGACCCACGATTTCGCCACCGTGACCGTGGCAATTTCCCTTATCTTCTCGGGCCGTCTCCATCATTACAGGCTCCTTCAAATAGGCTTTCTGCAATATATATATATATATAGAGAGAGAGAGAGAGATATCAGGGTTCTTTAATTAGTTTGATTGGAGGAAAGTTGAAAGTGGGAAAGAAATTCTTACAGACGAAGGAACTTGAAGATTAGAGAGAGAGATCCATTATTTGATGCATACCATATATCTCTAGCCTACTTACTATATATCTACCTTATTGATAAATCACAGAGATGTGGGAGAACCAAGGCCATCTTTATAGACTTGCAAAAGTAGAGCACGGTACACGTATACGTACTTACAGCGTTTAAAATATGGATTAATATTGGAGAATAGACCAAAAATGAGTGAGAAAGAGGGAGCTATTCATATTCCTTTTTGCTATTTCAGCAGACCTACCTATTTGTTTTTCCATCAGCATCGATCTCTTCCGATCTACTTAAATATATATATATATATATATAAAGCAAAAGAAGTTCTCTAGAAAACAAGAAAAAGAAAAGAAAAGAATACAAAACTATACACACATATATGCCTGTGGTGTACTGATTTGGTTGCTAAGTGTATATCTTTTTTTTTTTTGTTTAATATATTGGAAGGGTTTGAATACTTAATCTATACAAGTACCCCACTTCACGTTTAGCTTCAGAGGTGGCTCTTAATGAATATATACACGTGAGATTGAACATAATTATAGCTAAGTTTTCTTCAGTCTCAACTATCGATTTAATTAACATACAATATGGCATAAATTTTCCGAGATAAGGTCCTAATTAAAAATCTCTATATTTCGTTTTTTTTTTAATTTACAGAAATTCTACTGATCTTCTCAAATGGATACTGCTACCCAAGCTGAAAAAGGAGGATTCTTTTTGGACCCTACGTTAAGAAGATTAGTTTTGTTTCTCCTTTTCTTACTTTTGAAATGCATAGCTAGCCTATGGTTACAATGGGAATTAACTGGGAACATGTTGTTCATCATGTGTGTGTGTGTGTGTGTGTGTGTGTTAAGTGAACATAAAGTTAACTGTGTTTGTTAAGTGAACATAAAGTTAACTATTAGCTGGTACATTAAAGGAGGAGCATCAATAATCAGTAATCTTGTATACTTGGTGTTCATGTGGTATTCCTAGTAGGCAAATTCTCTAGATATTTGATAATAGAATACGTACATGACAAAATCAGTTCTTTTGCCATTAAAGTTTTACCAAAACAATATATATATATATATATATATATCCTCCAGTCCAATTCATATGACGCTTTTTTCCTTCCAAGCTTGGTCAAAATATAGGACGCTTAGTATTTTTTTAAAAAATATTTTTTAAAATTTATCCTTGTATTTATCAATGTAATTTTTTCCTTTTTTTTCTTTTTTGTGTAGTATGAGAGAAATATCATCTGCTTCTTACTCTTCATAATCTCTTTCTAATTCATTTCATTAGATAGTAGCTGGGGTCAAGGACAAAAGAGAAATGATACCAAATAAAAAATTCCTTTTTCAAAAAAATATATTTGCAATATATTAAATATTAATTAATTCACTATTAAAAATTTTCTCATATTGGATGGTTATGTTAGCTTATATTGAATGGTCATGAACTGTCCAATATGTAGCTATCATATGTTTATAAAACAAATATTAGATGGTTAGGAGAATTGTCTAATATTTGGAGCTCAATCTTGGACAATTCTTAGACAATGTCCTATATGTGGTCCAATATATTGTGTCTACTAGGAGGGGAGAATATATTGGACGATTATGACTACAACCATTCAATATATATGGTCATAATCATCCAATATGTTGTGTGTTTTTATTTTAATAATAGGGGCTACATTTTTAATGGTCCCTAAAACAGTACAATGCAAATACAATAATCCAATCCAGTCTAAATATCTAGCAATTATAATAAACTAACAATTTTATTAAAGCTATAATAACCAAAATAATTTGATGCACAATTTCTCCAAAATATACCAACTTAAATAAGAAAAACTATATAAAAAAAGTCTCATTTATTTATCTTTTGCCTACAGTTAAAAAATATACTCACACTATTCTTCCATGATTTCAGTGATGTTAATGTACCCAAATTTTTGACAATAAGAGTCAAGCTAATATTGCAATAATGTAACATGCTGACAAAATTAGTTAAGTAGTCGTGTAATTCATTATCACCTATAATTAAAGTTGAATAACATACATACCGTGGTAGGAATTAGGGTCAGCCCATGAAAGATAATTCATTACCACCAACAAAATGATTTGACACAAAAGAAAGAGGTCATGAGTTCAACCGTTAGAGAAAATAATTTGTGAAATGTGGTAAACTAGCATTACTTTCTAATGCTCAATATTCAACAGTGACTATTTAGTTGCCATTGATGTATGTCACCGATAATTCTCAACTTTCAGTGATGACATTAGTTTTCAATTTTTGCCACATATAGAGTTATTGACAAGAGCTCTCATAGCAACATTTCGATGACCTTTTGTTGTCACTGAAAGTCAATTTTTTTATAGTGTTAATAACTCTAAAAAATTAACTTAGTATGTAGAGAGGAACAAGTGTTGTGATTCGGTAAACAAGTCTTCATTCGAAAAAAATAAGTCTCATTTTTTAATAATAATTAGTTCATTTATTATCAATTGCAAAATATTAATTTGATAGATGAATTGTTATAATTTGATGAACAAGTATCTATTTAAGGAAAAAAAATTTCATTCTCATTTTAACAATAATTAATTCCCTCATCACAACAAAAATACATCACGATAGTTTTAATTGTCTTCAGGACCGATAGTTTTAATTGTCTTCAGGGGTCCTTATCTTTTCACAATAAATTTTAATTACATTTAAATCTTTTGATCCGGTAAAGTAATATCAGAATCTTTTGATCTTCTAATGTAATTAATTGTCTTCAGGGTCTTTAATTGTGATTTTCCCATATATAAACCAAGGGTGAAAGGAAATGGCTTTGGAGAGGTATCAACCTATTGTGACAAGACATGGATACCACTTTGTGTCTGCCATGTAATATAAGAAAAGTGATCGACAACAGTCATATCTTATGATGATCTATGTATATAAATGATATGTGCGTAAATCCTGGAGGAAGGTTATATTAAACAGAAATATGGACGATGAGAAAAGTTGAAAACGATCGACATAGTGAATATATGCACAGGATCACACTCATTAATTTTTGTACCCATTATTGCAGTATCGAAAGGCTTTATTTCACCAAAATTAGGCTTTGAAATCAATATAAAAAATATATACAGATAATTATATTATTCACAAGGTCATACGTAATATTATAATGTATATGAATATATACTCCATTTGTTTTGGCGCCCAAATATAAACTCGAGTTTGAAACGCAATACGATGAAGTTTCGTCTTTCCATTTATATCACTTTTGTAAGAAATTGTTCCCTAAATATAATTTTAAAAGCAAAACTTGTATACTTAATTTTATATATTTAAGATGTTTTTTTAATTAAATCAAAATATATAAATCTTTTAAATATTATTTGTATAACTTTTGCTAAATATTAATCCAGAAAATTAAAATATTTAATATTTTTATGTTGATTATTGAAAAAACAATCTTAATTATACTAGTTGTTCATATTTGAAGGGACTTAAGCGTGAAATCTTATATTGGAATATGTATATGAATGCAAAAAATGCTTTTAAAGAAACTAATTCCAATCATACTAAATAATGCTCAAATTTAAATTTATGATACTATATATCAAATACTTATAAATAAATATGATTTTTTTTCTTAATTTTAATACCCCAAGAAGAATATAGGACTAGAGTGGCAATTTAGAAAAATCGTCAATTGACAGATTGATATATTAACATATTCTCATTTTTATTACAAACACACACACACGCTATCAATATAAAATATATGAAATAAAATTTATAAAATATATGCTCCTTTTGTTAAAAAATATAAGATATTTTTAATCGATTTTTATCATTTAATAAAATAATTACTTACTTTTAAACTAACTTTATTTTTTTATATTTATTCCTATTAGATACCCTACAATAAATATAAAGTCATTCATTAATAGAGGCACTTTTAAAAAAAAAAGACAATGATTACATCTTGAAAGATTAAAAATGCCTTACATTTTTAAACATATAATTTCTTAAAAATGACTTATATTTTTAAACGAAGAGAGTACTATTTATAATTAAAATATTATAAAATTTAGTGTTAAATTTTATGGAATCAATTTTTTTCGGTAAAACTTATATGTAAGAGTTTGATTAATTTATGTTAATTATATAATTTTTAGTGATTATATCATAGTATAAATTATAAATAATACTATATATTTGAAACAATGGAAAAAAAAAAAAACATGCGCAATCAAATCAAAGAAAAAAAATAGAAAACAGAAAAAAGAAGCTGTCATCTCATCTCTGTTGGTTAGCATTTCCTTTCTTGTTGTCTAATCATAGCGCTTCGATTGTCACCTATCGGCAATCCATCCACCTATCCCGCGTGGTTTCCTTTCAAGTTTCAACGGTCCATTTCTTTGGGTTTTATTTTTTATTAAGAAAAAGTTTAAGTAGGTTCGTATTTCCGAAATATATCAAGAGTAGCACATGTTTTTAAATTTAAAAAATATTCATAAAAATATTTATAAAAATATTTATAAATAACTTATTAATAAAGTCTTACATTAAAAGTGAAATTTGAATTCACAATCATGTAGGTTGTAAATTAAATATTTGTCAACTGAAACAACATTCATTGATTTCATGATCCATTTTTCTTACTTCTCTATGATAATAAATTATATCTAAAATAAGGCTAAGAACTCTTCTAACAATTGAACCTTAATTGACCATCTCATGAGAAATTAGTCCATTGAGTGGACTCAACCCCTCATTTGTTAAAACTTATCTTTAATTCTCCCATTTCCACCCTTTATATTAATTTTTCTTTTTCCAAAATGTTTAGAATCTTTTCTCATATTTTATAATATAAAAAAGGTATTTGTGAATATTTTAAAATTAAATAAATTGATCGAAAATAGAATGATGCGGTATTTTTTTAAAATATATTATTTTAATGAATAATTATGAATAAACAATAATAAATATTTATACTATATATACAACTTATTCATGGATTTTTTTTCCAAGTTAAAAGTCACGCTATAAATAAATAATGATAAATAATCTTAGTTTTTATCAATTAAAAATAATATTTAACTTCAACATTATCCGTTGCTTAAGAAAAAACCATACTGCTCATGGTGACTTCATTTTTTTTTTTTGGTTGTGTCAAACCATTCGGTATGCAAAGTTGACAGCCTCAACTTGAAAAACTAAAGATGTTGTGTGTGTGTGTGTGTGTGT